GCGTCCGCCCCGCGTAGCCCCACACTCCCGGCCCGGCTCCACACGGGGAGGACTCCCCGGGCCCCGGGCCTTTCCCCGGGAGCAGAGCGGGAAACCAAGAAGGCTGGACAGCTCTGGACGAGGAATAAAGAAACCCGCCGGATGGTAGCTGCTGCGCGGGGCAGAGCCAGGGCCGCTGGGCCGGGCCTGCGGAGCGGTGCACACCGCTGGCGACCACCCGCGCTCACCTCCCGCCGCGCGCACGCACAAGACTGCACCCCCCCTTCAGACAGATAAGCTCGAGAGAAATATATAAGCAACACTCGATTAATATATCTATGTACCGCAACTATATATAGCCGCCACAACATACGTGTTATTTATCTGCCAGTATATATAGACACATATACATGCACACACATATGCACATGCATAAGTAGTTGCATTTAAATGCCCACGCGCACACAGACATTCTATACATATATTATACATATATAGATATAAAGATATATCTCTATATAGAGATCTATATAGAGAGATACACAAATATCTTTTTTTCATTATATTCGGGAATCTCAGTGTATGTATAGTCGCATTAAAACGCCGCTTTCGAGACTGGCGCAGCCGCGCAGGCCAATGGAGAACGCGCTGCCTTTGACTTTCCCCACTAGGGAACGGCCCCTCGAGAGCGGAGCACGCGGGACTGAAGGAAAGGAGAACGATCTTAAAGGAAAGAGAGGCATTTTATTGAAGACTTTACAATGCTAAAAATACAATAAAAGTGCTAGTTACTCTAGAAAAGTTGGTCCCAAAATGGTGCTATGCCCAACATCTATCAACGTACAGAAACATTTAGAAAATCGCTATGAACTGGCCCCAGTATTTAAAACGCCGATGTGGGTTTTTTTTTCCTTTCACATTAATCTATTTCAACTCAGAGAATCAAGAAACTCCGCGAGAAAAAAGGCTGAAGCAAAACCTACCGAGACAGTCCATTTTGGGCCAAGAGGTTTTTGGTAAAAAATTATAATAATAATAAAAAAAAGATAAATTTTAGCTTTTATTTAATAATAATATGCGCACGGGTGGAAAAAAAAACCCAAAAAACCTCCTTCCAATTCTTATAGGAAACCGTCTTTTTTTTTTCTTTTTCTTTTAACATCAAATATTATTTTAGACCTGTATAAAATTACTCGAAAGGCCTCCCGGGGCACTCGCTCCGTTCAAAAATATATCTCTGGCTGCCGACGCATTTCGCACGTTACCCTGGGGGGCTCCTTTGGTTTCTTCCCCCTCCGGAGCCGGTGGCCGGTGGCCGGGAGAAGCCCGCGCAGCGCAGCACAGCCCGGCCCGGCCCGGCCCGGCCCCGCCAGCCCCGGCGCCC